CACCGCCACCGTGAGGAGGTGCCCCGCCTTCCGAAGAGGGTTGTATGTCCTCCCCACCAGCTTCCACCACCCCGCCCCCAATCTTCATCAGCTCATCCCTCAGTTTGGGAAACCAGTCACTTTCCAGGTACTGGCTCGTGATAGCAGTAATATCAACCACGTCATCAATCCTCACCGCAAAATCGGCTATGTAAGCAAACGGTGTAAAAGCAGATGACAAGTCCCCTGGGTTGTACGCCTCGAGAACTTTGACGGGGGAGCATGACTGTGAGGCCAGCACATCAAAACCGGAGGGAGGCGTATCTGGTGGGGAGTCCGGCGGTGGGATGAATGGGTAGGTGTTGCGGAGGCAGGACAGGAAGGAGTGGGAGGAGGAGGGGGAGATGAGGTGCTCGGGGGAGCAATCTGACAGGTCGTGGAGGACGGTGAAGATGCGGATCAGGGGGCGGGGGAGGGGGAAGGCGTGGGTCAGGTAGGTTGGCATTTCTGGGCGGTTGTGAGGCTGAGGTTGTCGTTGTTGATGACTGACTCGACTTGGCTGTGGCGTCGTTGGCCAGAAGGATGTACTGCGTAGAGGACTCGGACTATCGTATCTCGTGATTGCTCTCGTAGACAACAACAACAACAACAACAAGTCGTCATCGATGGCGGGGCTGGATTCCAAATCATGCATAGATTGGTGTGGTGTAACGGTCTTGGCGGGGCGAGATGGTGCTCAGCTTTCTAACGGTTCTCAAAAACCAGCCTCTCCTCTTTACAACGATGTACCGGATGGCCCATCATCATTGATTAGGACCTTTGAAATGTTCCCTTCCGTCGTGCAAGCTTCTGCACTCAGGGACTGAACCCACCAAACAGAAAGCGTCCTTTACAGATCGTGACGACCCGTCAGGATCTCGAATGCAACCATCTCTAACATCGCCCTCGGCCTGCATTCAGTCCCACTCGGCCGATGCGACGTGCAGGACTTCATCTCGCGACCAAGGTTGGTCCATTCTCGCGTGTTTTCAAGGATGGAATCCATGGTTTGGGGGCCGAATCAGTGTGCTGGCCGCTTGGGGGGGTCTACCATCTTGAATATCGAACTTGTGTGATGTTCGACTCTGACCTCTTTTGTAACCTCTTGGACGCTAAACTGGTGAATAGAAGTGAGATCGACACGGCTGCAATGACGGCGAATGGAGTTTGTTGATGAGGAATCTCACAGCTCGGGAAGGGGGAGAGTCGGTCCTGAACTTGGGTCCATGAGGGACAACCAGCCCTGTGAACCAAGAATCCAAGTCCAACTCCATCAGACCGACGTGGCTTGCCTGACTGTCTTTCTATGGATCAGTTTTGTAAGAGCATTTTCCGCATAAATAACAATGTGATGGCCGACCCCAGGACAACATAAGCCACTGCCTTATCGTAACCAAAAGGGCAACTGTTCGCAGCCTATAAACATGGCTTAAAACAGGGGGTTTTATTTGCAAATAACTCCCCAGCTAGCACCAAGACAGGGAGGTGGCTTTGCCAAGAAACGGCCCCTGCTGTGTTGAATGTCTTGGTGGTGAGAACTAAACCCTACCCCAGCTCCTTGCCAATGGCAACCTCACGCACCTCGACGGCCCAGCCGGCCATCTATCTGATGGGCCACGGCCGACCAAAGGATTTTTTGTTCCCGTCTCTCTCCCAGTGTCGATCTCTTTTATCTTTTATTGCGCCGCTCTTTACCTTTGGTTCTTGTTTCTTTTCTGTTCCTCCCGACATATGTCGACCACAAATCCCTACGGCTACACCATGGCCGCCACAGTAAGACTTAACCAATCTGGTGTTTCTCCCGGTCTTTGATAATGACAGCCCCGCAGTACGATCAAGGCCTCGAGCCAGCGCGCCACGACTATCCAGAGGTCACAGACCCTTCCCACTGGGCACCGGAATACGTGCCTCCCCAGCCACTGACCAATGAGCCGATGAAGCCGTATGGGAGTACCTACGTGACTCCTGCCGCCCCTTATGAGCTCTCACACACGAGGGAATCATCCTCGGCATATGGTGGACATGCAGCAACGGCGACACTACCTTACGATATGCACGATCAGGTCCGGTTGCCAGCATCGCCCCCAACAGCAGATCCGTCATCATCGATGAGCTCGGAAAAGCCCCCTTCTCACCACCGGAAAAAGACAATATTCGGCTGCACAACACTGGTGTTTGTTCTCTCGTGCATCATTGCGCTTCTGTCGATGGCGGTGATTGGGCTGGCAGCTGCCGCGGGGATGGAGGCGCACAGGGCGAACACCAACGCGAGCAGGATGGCGGTCATGCTTGCTGAGAGCAATAGTACGTCTGGGGGGCTGGAGTCGGTTTCTGACGCCGAGCCCGAGCCTGGTACCGGTTCTGGTTCTGATTCCAACACTACTCCCGGCAGCACAAGAACCGGAACCGTCACCGTCTCCGCTGCTGCTGCGGCGACCGAGACTGTCAGGGTCACTCCTGCTTCCGCCATCTCCGCCGTTGACGACGGCTGCTCGGAAAACCCTGAGAAAGTCCACGGGTCGACTTATACTTCTTACAAACGTATGCGCCCCCCCACACTCCCTTATTTCACCCTTCTTTTACTAACCTATCTTAGGCTTCAACTCTTTGAAATTCACCCGCTACTGCCAACGAGATCCAGACGGCTCGCTCGTGATGGTGATTTTTACCTCGACTTTTGAGCAGTGCATGGACGCGTGCGCGTCGTACTCGACTTATGTAGCGGAGTCGTTCCCCACGGGAGGCGCAAAGACGAGGTGTGACGGGGTTAGTTTTATTCCCGAGTGGGCGGATAAGGCTGCTGCGGGTAAGGAGAATTCGAGGGGGAATTGTTACCTGAAGAGTGGAGTTAAGGGGGAGGGGGGAGAGAATGGGAAGAAGGTCAAGGTTCATGCTGCCATTTTGCAGGGATAATTAAGTTGGGGGAGGGGAGGAGTGATACCCAGGGTGTGTGTGCGTGAGGAGTAGGTAGTGGATTGGATGGTTTTGTTGTGCGATTATAATGGGAGGACATTGGGAAGCGTTGAGGAAGGGTGGAGCAGGATGTGTTTATCTGGGCTTTGAATTTGACTGGATTGATTGTTCAGCTTGCTCTTTTTCTTCTTTGGCGCTAATAAATACCTGTATGAGAAACTGGTGCGTGAGTCTGACTGTTTTCGTGCTTAAAGCACGTACGCATGTTTATCTGTGATGAAATCATGAGCCAAGTGTGCGGTGAAATGGTCTGCAATCAATCCTTAGATCCAAAGTCGGCGGTTATTACAGCGTTACTTGTATTTGACCAGCGGGTATAACTGCAGTGATGAATAACTTTGAGCAGTTCTTGCTCAGCAACCACCTATAGCTTTCTAAAGGGGCATCATCATCTTGGGGGACTGTGCTCGTTGTTAATGTACCTAGGCTTCCACACCGTCTTCTACATAGTGATTGTCAAAGTGGTGGCTGTCAAAGTAATAGTTGTCAACAACCTTAAGAAGGGCAGCAACAGTGGTGGTCACGAAGTAGAGGTCGTTAAGCGGGGGCAGTTGGGAAAATCGATGTGGTGACGGAGTATCGTGGGTCTGTCAACACCATCCACCCTCCAACACCACCCACCCTCACCACCACCACCATCACAAAATTAAATGAACAATCGTGACAACAGCAAAAGATAGGCACACCAGGATTCGAACCTGGGTTTTACACCGCATCAGATCAATACCCTCACACCTCTCCCCCCGCCCCTTGGAAGGCAACCGCAGAAGCCAAGCGCGATGCCGCACCTAACACTGACAGTACAGCACTCCATGTAAGCAGCGAGTTGTAGCAAGGAAGGAATTGGTGTTTAGACATTATCACCCCAACCGGGTCGTTTTGAACCACTTGACCATGCGCCCCGTCATGCGTCAGCTCTTTATTTGTTATTATGGCAAGTGCTGGGCCAAATATGTAAGCCATTGGTCCGTGGGTCGAGCGACTTTGTTGTGTTGTGTTTGGGGAAGGGGTGATGAGGGCTGGGTGGCACGTGCGTTGTGTGTGAGGTGGGAAGGAACGGTGATGGTAGAGGGCATACACAATGGGTGGGGAGAGCATGGGTTTGGAGCTTGAGGGGGTGGGATGATTCGCCATCAACAGCACGTGGTCAAATGGTCACCGGTGCTGAGCTTGCTCCCCCCAACATCAAACAACGGCTTCACATCCCGGAGCTATGGTGCACCCAACAAACGCTCTACCTCCTCCCCCTCAACTGCTGATGGCCTCACAATTGCCCGCTGATACCCATCTCACAATTCCTTCCGCTGGTCCCCTCCAGATCGATTGTCTATGTCGGGGTTGGTAAGACTCTAGCAGACATCGAAAATCTTGTGTGTTGGCTGTGTGGACATGTGACTTATTACTGTACCTTCAGCCATGGCAAAGATGCCTCCAATGAAGAGGGCCGTGTTGTTGATGGCCTGGTCCATTACTGTTCACAAGATTGCGGCTTGAATACAAGCTTGCGGATTGGATACATATATTCTAGGAACAAAACTCTATTTGGCCCCCTCTGTAAGCCAAACATTCTCAACAGCTCTATCAATATCTTGAAAGGAGGCAGCTTAAACTCCTTACCATTGCTCAACCTCCTCGTAGCATCAACTCATCAAAACACAATCCACACAACCCACACAACCCACACACCACAACATCAATCACCTTCCCGCCCCTCCCGCCCACAAAACAGCAGCACACACAAGTAGAGTAATTTTATGTTTTATGCTTATCACCCACCGCTTTGTGGCTACAAGCATAGGTAGACAGCAAAGCAAATCAGGTAGTTAACTATACACATTGTCCCCACCTTCACTCACCACCCCTCCCCCCCCCGGAC